CTCCCAATTCCTGGAGCCTGCCTTGCCTGTCATGACCATGGGACTGTGGTTGTAATTAAATTGAGGACCTCACGAGGGATTATCCTGGATGAATCCAACAGAATCTAAAAAAAAAAATGCACAGTTGATAGAGAGGAGCAGAGGAGTCAGGATTAGAATAACTCAGTGTGAGAGGATGTGGCTTTGAAGATGGAAGGGAGCCACCAGCCTCTAGAATCCAGAAGCCGCTCTACAGAGGTGCCGCCTTCCAGAGACCAACATCACACTCCAACCCAGGATGAGTTAGTGTATTTGTTCAGCTGCACCAAGGGACCAAGTAGCTGGTTTCAACAGATGGAAGATGTATTTCTGTCTGAGGCCAATGTCTTGGCTTCACATCGTCACCTAGTCTTATCCCACCATGCCTTCAGGTAACGCGCTTGACTGTGTGATCAGCATTCACTCACCACCACCCCATGGTGATCCTTCCTGAGAAAATGGGCAAATGGAAGGCAAGCGCTTGACCTGCTGGCCATGACCTAGAAGTTGCATACAGCACCTTGGCCAGAACTAGCTGCAAGGGAGCCTGGGAAATACAGGCTCTAGCTGGGTGGCTGTAGACCCAGCTGAAGCTCAGGTAGAGTTTTGCTTTCGTTTTGGTTTTGTTTTTAGTAACCTAGGTCCTCCTGCAGACTAGGCCAGTGCTCTACCACTAAGCCACACCCCCAGTGCTCAGGTGGACTTTGATGACTAAAAGGAAAGACAAATAGCTAGTCGTATTTCCCATTCCCAGCCAAGGACCCAACCTCAGCCTTGGCCACTCTCTTTGCCTAGACTTTGTTCTAAAGCTCCCTGACCTCTTCTCCCTGTGTCTCTCTAGAACCGTATCCTCCTGTCTGCCCTGTATTGCCACCATCTGAGCCTGTGGTCACTTTTGCTTTTCTTTGCAGGTGAAGAGTTGGGCCTTGCACATGAACTCACACACAGTATTGCATACAGAGGTTCTTAGAGGAGACATTGGTTTTGTTGTTGGATTGTTAAGTAAGAATATTAACTGCTACCTCCAGTCCAGCCTGTGGACCTGTTCCCTGGGTCCCCAGCTGTCAGAGTTAGGAGAAAGATTTATTTTCCTGGCATTTTGAGATCAATATGCTTTATTACTATCAGTAAAATTTTTTAACAGATTTTGGCATCTTGGGAGATAAGTATATATGTCAGTAAATTACAATTAAAGAACTTTGTTCAGACCCACCGTTCTGGGGTCAGATTGATCTAACAGTGACCTGGGCATGGGGCCCCTGTCCCCATCTTGGCACAGCCTTATCTTACTTGGCAAGTGGCCCAAGCTCTTCAGCCTAGAGCCGGAGGCACAGTCCAGCTGGTCTCCTTCCGGGTCTGGTGGCATTGTCCACCTGATAGAGCCCAGCTCCCAGCTCCACCTCCTACAAGCCCCAGGGTGTCTACTCTGGGCTCTGGTCCTGTGGTACCAATGCCTGGTTGCAGGAGGCGATTTATAGTTTGGCTTTGGGCCTAGACCACTTGCCTTGAGTCTGTCGGCTCCTCCCCCAAGGCCTTTGTGGCTCCAGCCCTAGCAAGCCCTGTCCTCTTCCTGGTTGGGCTGTTCCAATGGCTAGGCCTATGGAAGCTTCTGGAACCTTCTGGAAATGACCTGGTATGTTAACCAGTTGGTGGCTGAAGCTCAAGTTCTCCTCATGGTCATCAGCTGTCTTCTAAGCTGTAGCTCTCTGGGGGCTGTGGCCTCAGTGGCAGGCAATGTGGACCCTGCAGCCATTCTGACATCATCAGCAAAGGACATCCATCCTCTATGGACTGGGGTTCAGGCCCCTGTTGGCCTGAAAGGGAAATCTTGAGGTTCTGACCCCAATATCTCCGGTGGCTTTTTTTTTTTTTTTTTAGTTGTAGAGAGACACATACTTTTATGTTGTTTATTTTTATTTATGCGGTGCTGAGGCTTGAACCCAATGCCTCGCATGTGCGAGGCAAGCGCTCTACCACTGAGCCACAACCCCAGCCCCTCTGGTGGCTTTTGTAAGTGATCTTTTATAGGTGACCCTGGAGAAGCAGAGTTTTCTTTGTCATTCAGGCTTATATTAAAATTTCACACACAGTCTCAGAATCTCAGAAAGCAGGAAAGACCCATTTTCTTGGTGTCTTGGTCACAGTGGCAGCGTGGTCTTCCTGAAGGAGTTAAAGAGGTAGTAAACACCCACTTGGGCTGCATCTGAAGGGCAGCACACCCCAAGGCCTTAGGTGTTGCAGTTTATCCAGCGTCTGCACCTGCACCCCCGCTGCCCCTCCCATGGCCCGAGTATCAAGTGACTTGCATTTGTCATGCTATGGTAGAGCACAGTGGCAGAGAGCACTGGCCCTGGGGTAAGAGGACCAGCGTGGCCCTGGGCCGGTCATTCCCACTGCATCCCAGGTGCCCTGTCTGCAGAATGTAGGAAGGATTTGGCTGCTAACCTTTGCTGAATTGTGATCTTCCATTAACAAAGATCAATTACTGCATTTGCTAGAGGGATATTACTGAAGACACAGATGAGCTCCTGCATCATTACTGCCCCTGACTGAAGTGCCACATGGAAAAGTTTCATTTCAAGCAAGCTTTTTCTTCCTGTAAGGAACCTAGGTCACTGTTCCCCTCTGGCTGTAAGCACTCTGTAATGGACCACATCTCTCTTTTCCCCTTGCCTATCAGGGAGCTCATGTGTAGCTGAACTATAGAACCCTTAGGATTGGTATCTCGGTGTTCTTTTTATCCCACCAATCCTAACTTCCTGCTCTATTCACATTTTCTCGGTTCTAATTTGTTATCTTTATTACAGTTTGTCGTTCTTCTACAAATGTGATGTAATAGTTACCTTGAATTCTTTCTGGAACCAAGACAGAATGAAAAAGGAGAACATTTATAGGGTACAGTTTTTACTAAAAAGATCAAGTCATCTGCCCTCCTTAACCTTGTCATGGGGCTGAAATCCTGCCATTTCAGAGACAACTCTCTGAGAACCTTAGAGACTTGTTCATCTGAGCAACTCCAGAAAGGGCCAGGAGTGAACGTCTCACTTCTGTGTCAGCAAATGGGAGATGAAAAGCAAGACAAGGACATAGGGCACCCGGGGCAGGTGGCCCGGGGCAGGTTGCCCGGGGCAGTGCACGCTTACAGCAGAAGAAAGTGCAGAAGCACTGCTCATCCACCCAGGGGCTCCCCGGGGACAGGCACCGAGGAGGGATGAGGGACCAACTCCAGCTGTGACAACTTGCTGCTTAGAAACATCAGGCTTTAAATAGGACTTCCATGGCCCTCAGTGTTCCCAACTGGGAAGTCATGTGATTGAGCGTGACAGACTCACAGTGGCCTCCAGCTTCAAAATTCCAACCATGGCCCTGGTCAGAAGGGACCTGAGATGCACTCAGGACCCAGGGAGCCTAGACAGCCTGATTTTCGGCTGGCCTGGGAGGATGCTGTCACTTGTGAGTCCACTCAGACCACCAGACCAACTCTGTCCCTGCAATTGGCAAAGGCCTTCATTCTTAACGGGTTCCAGAGTTTCCCTGGGACTGACTGGGCACGAAAAGGCTCCAAAACTGGAGGAACCTTCCAAAATGCTCTCCCTGGGGATCGTCTGGATTAGCCAGGTAGTCTCAGGTGTGTGGAGTGGGAGTTCCCGTGAGCTACGGCAGTAGTTGGCGGCTTCTCCTTGAAGCGCAGGGCTGGGAGTGGGTTCTCAAGGGCATAAAAAGCAATGATGTCTCTCTCTCTTTTTCTCTTGTGGACACTTTCATATCTAGGGCTAGAGAGAAAGATTCAAAAGAGAATAATCCTCCTCTTGGGAAACTTACACCTGAATAACCCATGGGCACGTCCTCCTGTGCCAGGCCTAGCACCGCCCAAAATTCATCCAACAGCATCCACACCCATGACCTCGCTGGGCCCACAGCATCCCCAGGGTGCGGTGAGGCAGGAAATGCTGTTGACTGTTTTATAGATTGGGCAGTGGAGGCTTAGAGAGCTCCAGCCCACTCAGAATGGGTCCACAAAGCAGGACAGGCTTCCTGACCCCCGACTGCCCTGCCATTCCCAGAACCTGCCCTACCTTCAGCCCCAACGACCCACACAGCCACCATGTCACCAGCACATTGGCATCAGCTGCAGAGGCGGGTGAGGGGAGGATGGGCAGCGCTTGTGCACGTGGAGTTAGGCTGGAGCTCTCTGGCTGATCTTGGAGGGGCCTCCGTGGGTTTTGACACTGAGTCTGAGTGGCCCAGGCCATGGGGACACACCACAGTAACCCTGTCTTCTCTTTTGTGTGTGTGTTTCTGTGCGTGCGTTTTTGTTCCGTAGAAGAGTCTGACTTCTCCTCCGAGGCCGCCGATCACCAAACACGGGACAAAGGAGAGAGGAAGCCAGGACGGATCTGCCCCCAGCATCCAGTGTGGCATCTCTTGGGCTGGCACTAGGGATGACTGGGCCATGGACACAGACGTCTCCTACCTTCAGCCATTCGCATAGCACACGGGGGACTCGTGGGGGCCACTTGCCACTGCCCACCGGCACAACACAATGGCCATACTGACATCCCCCGTGACGTTTTCACGACAGACATTCAGGCAGGAAGCGCTGGTGTGCTTTCTGTCTGCCAAGTAGAGGGCCATGCCTCACCCAGAGGAGTAGCTTGGGCCCCGATGACCTGCTCTGAGTCCACTGGCAGCCAGTGACACTTGCAAAAAAAAAAAAATCTCCCAAAGCCGTCTCAGGGTGGGCTTCTGCAGCTTTTGACCAATGTGGCCAAAGCTGGACGCCTCCTCCGGACACTTGGATTCTTCGTAAATGCAGCCTGCCCCACCCTCCCTGAGTAGCATCTGAGGTCTCTGCGAAGGTCATGGATCCTGAACAAAGCATCAAGGGCACCAAGAAGGCTGAGGGAAGTCCCCGGAAGCGGCTGACCAAAGGAGAGGCCATACAGACCAGTGTTTCCTCCAGCGTCCCCTACCCAGGCAGCAGCACAGCTGCCCCCCAAGAGAGTGCCCCCCAGGAGCTCCTAGCCCCACAGCCCTTCCCCGGCCCCTCGGCAGTTCTTAGGGAAGGCTCTCAGGAGAAAACGGGCCAGCAGCAGAAGCCCCCCAAGAGGCCGTCCATCGAAGCCTCCGTCCACATCTCCCAGCTTCCGCAGCACCCTCTGACACCAGCATTCATGTCACCGGGCAAGCCGGAGCACCTCCTGGAGGGGTCCACGTGGCAGCTCATTGACCCCATGAGACCTGGGCCCTCGAGCTCCTTCGTGACACCTGGGCTCCACCCGCAGAGCCAGCTCCTCCCTTCCCACGCTTCTATCCTCCCCCCTGAGGACCTGCCTGGCATCCCCAAGGTCTTTGTGCCCCGTCCCTCCCAGGTGTCCCTGAAGCCCACGGAAGAGGCACACAAGAAGGAGAGAAAGCCCCAGAAGCCTGGCAAGTACATCTGCCAGTACTGCAGCCGGCCCTGCGCCAAGCCCAGCGTGCTCCAGAAGCACATCCGCTCGCACACGGGCGAGAGACCCTACCCCTGCGGCCCCTGTGGCTTCTCCTTCAAGACCAAGAGCAACCTCTACAAGCACAGGAAGTCCCATGCCCACCGCATCAAAGCCGGCCTGGCCTCGGGCGTGGGCGGCGAGATGTACCCGCCAGGGCTGGAGATGGAGAGGATCCCCGGGGAGGAATTTGAGGAGCCCACCGAGGGAGAAAGCACAGACTCCGAAGAGGAAACTGGTGCCACGTCCGGGCCCCCCACAGAGCTCCCCGCCAGGCCTAAGCACCCCCTCCTCTCCAGCAGCTTGTACAGCTCCGGAAGCCACAGTTCCAGCCACGAACGCTCCTCCCTGTCCCAGTCCAGCGCAGCACCGTCGCTGGAGGACCCGACTCCCTTTGCAGAACCCTCATCGGAGCATCCCCTGAGCCATAAGCCGGAAGACACCCACACCATTAAGCAGAAGCTGGCCCTCCGCCTGAGTGAGAGGAAGAAGGTGATTGATGAGCAGGCGTTTCTGAGCCCAGGCAGCAAAGGCAGTACTGAGTCTGGGTACTTCTCCCGCTCCGAGAGCGCTGAGCAGCAGGTCAGCCCCCCAAACACCAATGCCAAGTCCTATGCGGAGATCATCTTCGGCAAGTGCGGACGGATTGGTCAGAGGACCGCCATGCTGACCGCCACCTCCACCCAGACCCTCCTGCCCCTGTCCACGGAAGACAAGCCCAGCCTGGTACCTTTGTCTGTGCCCCGGACACAGGTGATCGAGCACATCACGAAGCTCATCACCATCAACGAGGCTGTGGTGGACACCAGCGAGATAGACAGCGTGAAGCCTAGGAGGAGCTCTCTGACCAGGCGCAGCAGCATGGAGTCCCCCAAGTCCAGCCTCTACCGGGAGCCCCTGTCGTCCCACAGTGAGAAGACGAAGCCCGAACAATCATTGCTGAGCCTCCAGCACCCACCCAGTACCACCCCCCCTGTGCCCCTCCTGAGAAGCCAATCTATGCCTTCGGCCACCTGCACCCTCAGTACCCCCCACCACACCTTCCGAGGTAGCTACTCCTTCGACGACCATATCACCGACTCTGATACCCTGAGCCGCAGCAGCCCAGTGTTTACCTCCCACCCCCGGATGCTGAAGCGCCAGCCTGCCATCGAGCTTCCTCTGGGAAGCGAGTACAGCTCTGAGGAGGCTGGACCAAGTAGCAAAGACGCAGCCTCCAAGCCCTCCGACGAACCGGAACCCAAGGAAAGTGAACTCACCAAAAAGACCAAGAAGGGCTTGAAAACAAAAGGGGTCATCTATGAATGTACCATATGTGGTGCTCGGTACAAGAAAAGGGATAATTACGAAGCCCATAAAAAGTACTACTGCTCAGAGCTTCAGATCACCAAGCCCCTCTCTGCAGGTGCTCACGCATCCTCCGAAGCCGAGAAGAGTCCATCGGAACACGAGCCGTGGTCCCAGATGATGCATTATAAACTGGGGGCCACCTTGGAACTCACTCCACTGAGGAAGAGGAGGAAGGAGAAGAGTCTTGGGGATGAGGAAGAGCCGCCTACCTTTGAGTCAACAAAAAGTCAGTTTGGCAGCCCCGGGCCGTCTGACGCCGCTCGGAACCTTCCCCTGGAGTCCACCAAGTCACCAGCAGAACCAAGTAAATCCGCGCCCTCGTTGGAGGGACCCACGGGCTTCCAGCCTCGGACTCCCAAGCCAGGGTCCAGTTCAGAATCAGGGAAGGAGAGGAGAACAACGTCCAAAGAAATTTCTGTTATCCAGCACACCAGCTCCTTTGAGAAATCCGACCCTCTCGAGCAGCCCAGTGGCCCGGAAGGGGAAGACAAATCTCTGGCCCAGTTCTCGTCCCCGCCACCTGCCCCGCACGGACGCCCGGCGCATTCCCTGCAACCCAAGCTGGTCCGCCAGCCCAACATTCAGGTTCCAGAGATCCTGGTGACCGAGGAGCCGGACCGGCCTGACACAGAACCCGAGCCACCTCCCAAGGAACCCGAGAAGACAGAGGAGTTCCAATGGCCCCAGCGCAGCCAGACACTGGCCCAGCTCCCAGCCGAGAAGCTGCCACCCAAGAAGAAGAGACTGCGCCTGGCTGAGATGGCCCAGTCATCCGGGGAGTCCAGCTTTGAGTCTTCTGCGCCTCTGTCTCGCAGCCCGAGCCAGGAAAGCAGTGTCTCTCTGAGTGGGTCCAGCCGCTCAGCCTCATTCGACAGGGATGACCATGGGAAAGCTGAGGCCCCTGGGCCCTCATCTGATCCTCGCTCCAAACCCTTGGGCACCCATATGCTGACTGTCCCCAGCCACCACCCACACGCCCGAGAGATGCGGAGGTCGGCTTCCGAGCAGAGCCCCAACATTTCCCACTCTGCCCACATGACTGAGATACGCAGCAAATCATTTGACTACGGCAGCTTGTCCTCGACAGGCCCTTCTGCACCAGCCCCAGTGGCTCCACCGGCTCCGGCGGCCCCGCCAGAGAGAAGAAAATGCTTTTTGGTGAGGCAGGCCTCTCTGAGCAGGCCTCCGGAAATGGAGCCAGAGGCCACCCCTAAGGGAAGACAAGAGAGTGAGGACCCACAGTCCTCATCCGGGAAACCTTCAACCAAAAGCTCGTTGCCCCAGATTTCCTCAGCGGCCACCTCGCACAGTGGGCACGCGGGAGGCAAGAGCCAGGTGCAGGACAGGCCCCTGCTGGGGTCCACTCCACCCTTCACGGAAGCACTGCAGGTGCTGCACCACCCCGTGGCCCAGCTGCCTCTGCAGGAGAAACCATATCTGCCCCCACCTGTCTCGCTTTTTTCTTTCCAGCACCTCTTGCAGCATGAGCCAGGACAGTCTTCAGACTTCTTCTCCAGCCAGGCCATGTCCAGCCTCCTCTCCTCACCATACTCCATGCCTCCACTCCCTCCGTCCTTATTCCAAGCCCCACCACTTCCCCTCCAGCCTACTGTTCTGCACCCAGGCCAACTCCATCTCCCCCAGCTCTTGCCTCATCCAGCTGACATTCCCTTCCGGCAGCCCCCTTCCTTCCTCCCCATGCCATACCCGGCCTCCTCAGCACTCTCTTCTGGGCTTTTCCTGCCTCTGCAATCCCAGTTTGCACTGCAGCTCCCTGATGTGGAAAGCCACCTGCCCCAGATCAAAACCAGCCCAGCTCCACTGGCGACAGCAACTCCTGGCCCCTCCTGCAGCACAGGGTACAGCAGTGACATCCACTTGCCCCCTGCAGCTCCCCCAGCCAGTTCCTCAGCACCCACATCAGCCCTGCCGCTGGCCCTGCCCGCCTGTCCAGACACCATGGTGTCCCTGGTTGTGCCCGTCCGCATTCAGACCAACACGCCGTCCTATGGGAGTGCAATGTACACCACCCTTTCTCAGATCTTGGTCACCCAGTCTCAAGGCAGCTCAGCAAGTGCACCTCTTCCCAAGAGTGAGGAGCCCTCATCCAAAGGGACAGCCGCGTGTGGGGCACATGTGTATGAGGCTGGGCCTGGACTGCCGGGCTTAAGTGAAGAGCAAAGCAGAGGTTTCCAGACTCCATACCTGAGAGTGCCTGTGACATTACCTGAAAGAAAAGGCACTTCCCTGTCATCAGAAGGTGCCTTGAGCCTTGAGGGGAGTTCCTCGACAGTGGGGGGAAGCAAACGTGTCCTTTCACCAGCTGGCAGCCTTGAACTTACCATGGAAACCCAGCAGCAAAAAAGAGTGAAGGAAGAGGAAGCTTCCAAAGCAGATGAAAAACTTGAGCTGGTAAAACCATGCAGTGTTGTGCTGACCAGCACTGAGGGTGGGAAGAGGACAGAGAAATCCCATCCAGGAAGCCAGGGCCAGGGCAGGAGGGAGCTAGAAACACTGGCCAGCCTGTCCTCAGATCCATCTGACCCCAAGGAAATTCCTCCCCTCTCTCACTCCACATTGTCCCATGGGACAGCCCCAGGCTCAGAAGCTTTGAAGGAATATGCCCACCCATCTGGGAGAGCTCATCGAAGAGGGTTGCCCCCACTGAGCGTGAAGAAAGAAGATTCCAAGGATCAACCTGATCCCCCTCCCCTGGCTCCTCCCAGCTCTCTGCCTCTGTCAGAAACGTCCCTCAGACCTGCCAAGTCACAAGAAGGTACGGACTCAAAGAAGGTACTGCAGTTCCCCAGCCTCCACACGACCACTAATGTCAGTTGGTGCTATTTAAACTACATTAAGCCAAATCACATCCAGCATGCAGATAGGAGGTCCTCTGTTTACGCTGGTTGGTGCATAAGTTTGTACAACCCCAACCTTCCGGGGGTTTCCACTAAAGCTGCTTTGTCCCTCCTGAGGTCTAAGCAGAAGGTGAGCAAAGAGACATACACCATGGCCACAGCTCCGCATCCTGAGGCAGGAAGGCTTGTGCCATCCAGCTCCCGCAAGCCCCGCATGACAGAGGTAAGTTCAACGTTGTTCTTTTTTTCACCACTGAGTGCTAAAGACCTTGTTGAGCTTTTAAAGCCACACTGTCTTCAGGTTCCATGTGTAGAACTAGAACTGAGGGGGAAGATTTCCTCTCTGACAGCTGTGACTGGTCACCTTATAAGGAAATATGTTTATTGGGTCTCTTTATCAGTGTGTTCCGTTCATGATTGGAATAGATACATTTCAAGAAAGTTGGCTATAAAGCAACCCTGTTTCCCCTGGAGCTTCCACTATAAAATCAAAGATAGAATTTCAGCAAGGAAAAAAATAATTCTAAAAGACTGAGTTGGACACTTGGTTGATGGGAAAGCCCCTAGCAGTTTCAGAACTTTGTAACATTTACTTACCTCATAGTTGTCCCTTGTCTTATTAGACTTTTCATATTTTTCATATTCATGATATCAAGGGCTCCAATTTACTCCCTCATTGCTTCTGACCTGCAGCTATATCAGAAGCTATGAAATTATATAAAGTTAACAGGTCCCCTGCACTTTTGGCAAGTTTGAAATATAATAATTCCAAATTTGAATTATACAAAAGACACCTCCAAACCTTAAAAAGGCTAGCCTGAGGATTTGGGCCATCTGTGGTGTGTTGTCCTAACTTGGCACTTGTGAAATGAGAAATTGGTCTTGCTTGTTGAACAACCTCCCTGTACTACACCCTTGGATCCAGTCAAAGCTCACCTCCACCTGTGAGGCAGCATTGCCATCTCCATGCTCCATATGAAAGAATCAGGGTCAAAGGCTGAGAGAGGTCAACAACACATGGCAAATGTTTAGCAAACCTGGAGTATTAACCCAGACCTTTTGGTCTCCAAAGAGTCTATTTTTCTTCTTTTAATTCTTTGAGGAAAGAAACCCTTAAAATATTGTTGCAGATTTAATGATGTTCACTAGTGTGTCCTCTGACCAGATGCTTTGACTGAATCAGGCATGGATTTCCCCTAATTAAGCTCCTATTGTAGATGGATGAGCAAAAGTATGGTCTGTAACTTCCCATACGTCCATGCCTTCCTCCTGCACTGAATGGATTTTTTGCATTGGGTTTGTCCTCATCTCAACTGGATAATCTTCACAACTGTTTTCCAATTCATTTTCTATGTCTTTGTCAGTCTACAGACATCTCTGAGCAAAATTTCCTCTTTTACCATAAACAGCAGACTGATTTGCTCTCGCTGTCTCTTACTAGCTAGAGCTGCTGTCAAGATGCAGCTATAATTATACCTATAATATTGTGGGCACCTACTGTGTGCCAGGTATTATGCTAAACTTTACTTTTATCTTCACAACCACCTTAAAAGTTAGTGTGCAATATCACCATTTTATAGATAAATGCACCAAAGCACAGTGTTGGGATAACTTGAACAAGGTCATGTGGTAAATGGCAGGGACTGAATTCAAATCTGAGTCATACTCTGAAGCCCTCTCAGATGATCCACGCTGCCTCTGTTCCCTTATGTAGATTGTATAGGGTATTTATAAGAAAAATGAAGTATTAACTGGTTGAATTGGATTTGGCAATCAGTTGTTTATAATACTACTTTCCTAAAATGAGCCAAAAACCTGCAAACTTTTTCCTGGAATATGCTATTTGGTTCAAAGGCAGGTTTCCTACCAATCTGCACAATTAAAATAGTTGCATAGTCTACAAGTTGAGGTCTTGCTACAAGGCCTCTCTTTCTTTCTCTCTCTGGCCTCTCCTTGTATAGCTCCAGTGATGGGGAACTCACCACCTTGTGGGACAACCCAATTAATCTTTGGGAAGTCCTTTATTCCACCAGGCTGACAGTTGTCATCTTGTGGCTTCCACTCTCTGTTAGTAGTTCTGAAAACGTCCTTTAGTTTGTCATAGCATTTTGAAGCTTTTTTTTTTTTTTTTTGGTACTGGGGAGTGAACCCAGGGGTGCCTAACCACTGGGCCATATCCCAGACCTTTTTATTATATTTTATTAGAGACAGGGTCTCACTGAGTTGCTAAGCACCTTGCTAAATTGCTAAGACTGGCTTTGTGTTCCCGATCCTCCCAAGGAGGTTCCAAAGCCTCAGCCTCCCAAGCTGCTGGTTTTACATGTGCATCACCATGCTTGGCATTTTGAAATTTTTCCTAACCATTTTCTTGTGGATCTAGGATACTGTATCACATTTGAGTTTGATCATACAATTTTTTTTTTCTGTTTGTAAGCCCCAAAGAAACTCAAGCTTCCACTTTTTAGTGACATCCCTTCCCTTAGGTTTCTCTCTCCGTTTTTTCTCCTTTGGGGTCATTTTTACAACCACAACATTATATCACAAGAAAGTTAAGAACAATGATGCAGGTGCCACATTGCCCAGAGTTGAAGCCTACTACCCCATCTACTAGTTGTGTGACCTTGGCTGGGTTACTTAATCTCTCTGTGCTTTGGTTTCTTCATCTGTAAAATATGGATAATAGTATCATTAGCTCATAGAACTGTGGAGATAATTAAATGAGTTAAAATATGCAAAGTGTGTATACAACAGTGTTTAGCACATTGACACTCAGTAAATGTTTCTGACTGTACTTACTCATTATCATTGAAAGTTAAAAGGAATTCCTGATTCCCTGCTCAGGTTGCCACCCAAACTAACCTCCTCTAGCTTAATCCAGACATCACCTCCCAATCTGAAAAGATTATATGGGGTCACTAGATTATATTAGTCTGTGCTAGAATGGATCTTTAGGATGATCCAACTTCCCCCTTCCCCAGACTCTGAGGCCCGGAGAAGTGAAGCAAATCCACCCTGGAGTAACTCAGCATGTGATGGCCTATCTGGTACTGGAATTCAGATCCCTGGTTCCCAGCTGGGTGCCTTTTTCCACAGTTCTACCAGCCCTCACCCCCAGTACAACATTGTTGCTCCCTACACAAGGGGGTACCCACCCCCTGCCATCCCCGGCAGGTAGAGAGAACATGTTCTTGAAATAATGGAAGATGTTGGGAAGCCCGAGGTCAATGCCAGCCTCCACACTGAACTAGGTCTCATTGAGGCCCATAACTCTGCAAAGAGAATGGATTCCCTTAGACCAACAGCCCAGAGCCTGCCAACCCTGGTTTGGGTGCTGAGATGATCAAGGAGAACAAGATAAGGACCTGTCCCCAGGAGCTCCCAAACTAGTACAAGAGACACAAAGCAACCCAGCTCTGTGGGATGGTTAACCAGAAAGGCCAATCAGAGCCCCAGCGTGGGAGACCTGGCCTCTCTGGGGTGGGTGCCTTCATTCTGTCGCATGGGGCTGACAACACACGTCTGAGGGGAGGAGCAGTTAGGGGAGTCCACCTGCGTGTGGGTCGGTGCCACGCAAGGGATTAGGACACTCCCAACTGAGAAGGAAAATTTAACCAGCTCTGATTTTGTCACCCTGCGGTGGGCCAGGTGCACCTCCCGTCGCTGGCTTCCCCGGAAGGCCAGAAAGAGCTAGCTAGAGTGGAGATGGAGGAGGAGAAGCGAGGGAAGCCGGAGGAGGACGCTCCCGCCCCCAAGAGAGGGGAGCCGGCAAGGATCAAAATCTTCGAAGGAGGGTAAGACTCACGCTCGGTTTGCAGCCTGCTCCCCGCGGAGTAAGAGCCTGCGCCCCCCTGGTGCGCGGAGGCGGCGGGCGTCTCACTCAGAGCGGTGCCCACAGGAACCCTGAGATTCCTGCGCCGACTTTGTGCAGGTGCCACCGTCACGGAACTTGCAGTTCGCCTCTGAGAACACCAGGGGGCGCCTTGGTGGGCACAAGCCACGCTGGGTGTTTGCTGAGGATCTGGAGGGGTCTGGTCTGGGTCTTTCTCCAGCCCTGATATTTCCTCAGCTCCTGGATGCTTTTCTAGCCCCTGCACGGGGGTGATAGTGAGCCTCCCAGCTCCCATCTCAGCTACACATCCCTTGCAGTGTGTTCCCCAAAAGTCACCTGCATCCTGCCCAGGCCACCCCCCTGGCATGCCCAGTTGCCCCCTGGGCATTTGGACTCTGCGCACAAGGCCAACTGCAGGGCGGAGAGCTGTTGCACCCACTGGCCTTTTACTCCCACTCCCGTTCTGACCGCCAGGGCCTGGGGCTCTGGTTTGGAGAGTTTTGAACAGTCATCTCTGGTCATTGGCTTTTGGTGCATGGCTTTGAAGCCTGCTGCTCTACACATTTCAGAATTCACCACTGTGGGGACCTTCTGGGCTCTACAAGGGAGCCTTGCTTCAGACGTGCTCTGTGCAAGTGTTTTGTGCTGGCTGTGTTCTATGTGGCCACGTGTCTGCTCCCCCGGATGTGGGTGTCTGTGAGCAGGTGCCGTGGTGTCTGTCTCGGGGTCCTGTGTCTGTGTCCCTGGTGTGATCAGGTTGGCCCCCAGCCCTACACAGTCCTGAGGGACAACAGTGAGGAGGAAAACTGGCCTCCCGAGGGGTTGGTCCCCAGGCCTTGGCCAACAGGACTGTCACTGGCTCTGACTCTCCAGCACCTGCAAGTGCCTAACTCACCAGGTCAAAGTTGGGGGCACAGGAGTCCCCTAGAAGGTTGGTGGAGAGGAGCACAGAGATTGCCACCCTCCCCAAGGCCACACATAGGCATCTTCTTGTGGTCTGAGGGGTCCTTGGGACTGATGATTGGTTACCAGAGCGGTGGGGCAGGGGGCAGAGGTGACACACATGCCCGCAGCATGCTGTCCCCAGGCCAGGAGTGGCTCCATCCAGGAACTCTGGGTGTTTCCCAGGGCTGACCCTTCCGACTGGGGACAACTGTTTTCTGCTCCTGCCGTTTGGTTAGAGCGCCCTCGTGTGTCTCTGTGTTCTCATACACTGGGTCCTCCCAAGGGCACCGGGACCGGATCCCAGGATTGATTTATGCATCTGGTCCTAGGAACGTGCCCTCTTCCCTCCTGGTTGAAGGACTGTCTCTGGGGCTCTGGGGGGCAGTGTAGTGTTTGCTGGTGGACAGGGATCCTGCTTCTTCAAGGTATTCTGTATGTACTAAGAGGCAGGCACCTCCAGACCTGAGTCCTGGGTCACCAAGCCACCCCCTGCTTCCTGTATCCCTGGAGAAGGCCCAGCCTCTGGACAGGCAGCTGTTGGGAGCCTCTCCCTGTCCAGCTACCTCCTGGACATCACTGCCTTTGGCTGAAAGTCATCCCCAAGTCCCTTCTCTTCTTGCAGCCCAGGCAATGTTCCCCTCCTCCTCCATGCCCCATGTAGGTTGACACTTCACCCACCTGCTGTTCCGGAATCTCCCTGTCTTTTGAGGTTTGTCACCCCTGCCCCTGAACAGCGGTCCCACCTGCCTCTGTCTAGCCTTAGACCATCCCACTCCCCACCTCTCCAATTCCCAGTGACCTTATCTGTGAAGGGGACAATAACATACCTGTGGTACCTGCCATAGGACCCTTGGGGCCAGTGGGAGAGGGTACTGTTCACAGGAGCGCAGGAGGGGCACGTGGGTGTGCTTCACTGCAGCGTATGGCGCTCTTCATCTCCGTCCAGGGCGACCTCACTCCACTGTGGGAACTCTCAACCCCCCTCCTCCAACTTTTCACGGCTGATCTGGGCACATGGGTTTATGTGGTGTCTCCCATCAAATCCTTTTCTCTTCTGAGCCAGGTTGTCCCACGTGAGTCCCCGCTGTCCCCTGAGTCCCACCCTCACTTCTGGCGATCCTCTTCCTTCCTGGTTCTCCTTGGGCAGTTGTCACCACCCCCAGGAGTAGTTACAAATGTCTGGGGGAAGGGGAAGGTGCTTTGGGTTGTTACCTGGGGGCACCTGTGACACCTCATCCATTCAGCCAATCACGTGACCATGTCCCTCCCAAGACACCAAGGCTGCCCCCACCCTAGAAAGCTGAATGCATCCTTCTGCAGCCACCCTGGGGTTTTGCCCTAGACTCAGTTCCTCCTACTTCTTTTTCTTTCTTTCCTTTAACACAACAAGCACCTATTTTTCACTCTGGTTCATGGAGCAGAGTCTGCAGTGGGGCTTGTTCACTGGGTCCTCAGGGGATTAGGGCCCGTGGAGCCCCGGAGAATAAGAAGGGAAGAGCAGTGTACTGTGCCTGGCTTCTAGAGCTTCCGCCCAGGGGCTTCTGCCCAGGTCCGTTGGCCAGAGCGAATCTCATGGCTTCATGTACATTCTTGGGAGTCAGAAGTATGACTACACTTTCCTTGGAAGGACCTGAAATCACTGGTAGGTAACCCTGACGGATCCAAGTGAGTCACTTCTATCACAGCCGGTGCTAAAATCCTTTCTCTCCCGAGTCCCTTCTCAACTTGGATCCTAGGGAAATGCTTGGCACACAGTTTACGTTGACCCCTCCCTATGGCCCTGACTTCCTGGCACATGGTCCTCTCTCTGCATTCCCTGTCATCTCCATATCGGAACAAAACCTGCATTTTCCTGCAGGCTTCTGGAAGCACCAGTCAGAAATGTGTCAGCTCTCACCCACACCGTGCATCTGACTTGGGTGTGTAGAAGGGCTCTTCTGTTAAGCAGCGTTTTCACACATACAAAGTTATTTTGTTCCTTGAGGGAAATGGATATATTGTCCTAACTCAAGTTTCCTTGCCGGGAACTCAGCCCAGTGGGCTGGTGTAGAAGCACTGGAACCCACAGGAACTCCCCAGCTACCCAAAGTGGCCATCCCAGCCCATTGTGGATGGGGGTCTAGGTCTGAAGATGGGGGTGAGCTCAGATGGTGAGATTCAAGGAGGCCAGGTCCAGCCAAGTGGGGTATTCAAGCTGGTCATGGGCAGATGGCTCGGGCTTAGATGGGCAACCCAGCCTCAACTTGGAGCTGGAGCATGGGACAGTGGTACAGAAGCCCAGTGGTCAGCTGGGCCAGTGAGGTTTGGTGTGGGGTTGCCCAGGGCTTCCCCTTACCATCAGGCTTTTAGGAGGACAAATCCATGCCAGGCCCTACCAGCCATAGATCCCAGCTGCAGGACTTGGGGAAGAGCCAGATGTGCTCCAATGCGTGGGTGCTGGGTGCCCTCGCTCCTCACCCCAGGACCTTGCTCCATGCAGATTAGCACACTCAAACTTAAGGTCTCCACCTGAAAAACTCCTCTGACTGCAGGACCTAGATCACCCGCTCTTTCTATTCCCTTTAAAGAACTTCAGAAGGAGCTGGCTGTGCGGCTCCCCCACCTCTCCTCCCACCCCATGCAATCCCACTGCTGTGGACCTGAAGCCTCTTCCTCCTCCAAGATGCTCTTCTCAAGGTCAACGGTGACCTTCACCTTGCAGAGGACAGTGATCACTCATTCTGTTCCTTCATGACCTGGTGGCAGCACTGGGCACAGTGACCCCTCCCTTCTCCTGGTAGCACTTTGTCCACCTTGCTTTTAGACACTTAATCTTCCTCTTCCTTGGCTGATTTCACTTTCTCGTCAGCTGTGGAAAGTCCCATCATCCTCCTGGTCTATACATATTAGGGCCCCGCAGAGCCCAGCCCTGGGCTCCCCTTTCCTCCAGACTCCCTCCCTACATGATCTTCCCCCATCTCTGTGCTCAGAACTGCCATGTGTATACCTCCTGGAGTCCTCCCCTGAGCTCCGTGTCATATCCCGCTATTCTCATGACAGTCCATCTGGACATGGAGTGAACCCATCCTTAGTCCCCAGCACAATGGATGCTCCAGAACAGCTGTGACTCTGGACTCCAACATTCATCGCAGAAGTCATTGTCAAAGTCCACTTAGTTTGTTATTGTTCCATCTGCAGGGATTGCGTTATTAATAGACACATATGTCCATCTCATTTATTTATATTTCTAGTAGCTGCATTCATTTTTATTCAAACCTTGAGAGTCATGCAGTGTTCTTAACACACATTGTTTTATGATCTATCTATACTTTAAAAAGCACGTGTGTGTGCATGCGTGCTTCATGAAATAGTAGTTTGTAGAGAATCATTTTAATAAAGATTATTTCATTTCTTAATAATCTTTCATAAATAACATTCCTCCTCAGCCTTTGGAATCCAGAAGCATACCAGCCTAAATGCCTGTCTCTCAGCCTAGATGCCTTGTGCCTCGGCCCCTCTCACTGGGAATGCCAGAGTTAAAAGGCTGTTGAGTGTGTTTGGGGAGATATGTATTGCCTTTTTTATTGGGAAGTGAATTGATCTCACTTTGGATTACATAAGTAGGAATAAGTTGGAGACTTTGGGGTAGGCACAAACCCGTCAGGTTACCCACAATAAAACCCAAACTGGTACAACACCTGTGACCCTGGAGTTTGGTGATGTAGAATATGAAATGCATAAGATAGGTGCACAGACTAGGTGAAAGCAACACTCACTTACTGAGTGTCTCTTTGAAGACTTTCAAGTGGTCAAAGGGGGAAAGAGGCATCTTTTGACAAAGAGAAAGAAGGTGAGCATTCTGCTCAGCGGATTTCATTTTTCAAGATGCTTGGGCCCCAAATCACTGTTTCATGTCCATTAGAAATTCCTGTCAACTTGTCCTTGAACCCAGATCCAGAGTCTGTCCACTTCTCTCCACTCTGGGGAAAGCCACTTCCAGTTTGGTCTCTGGCTAATCAGGGTGTCCTGTTCCATCCT